AAACAAGGAAATATTTATTTACATGGGAAGTTACAACCCTCTTTTCAAAATACATGCATAGGCTACAGCAGATGACCACCCCTTACTGACCCTGGTTCTGCCAGGGGTTTCTTTCTGTAAAAGGGAGTTTTTCCTTCCCACTGTTCCCACCTAGTCCTTGGTGGTCCTAGGTGGTCAAACAAACAAACTATAAATGCTGTACTAGATACGCTATATTGCCCAAAGTATTCACTCACTCACTGTGTTCCAATCACTTCCATAGACACAGGTGTGTAAAATCAAACACCTAGGCATGCAAACTGCTTCTGCAAACATTGGTGAAAGAATGAGTCGTTCTCAAGAGCTTAGTAAATTCCAGCGTAGTACCATGATAGGATGCCACCTGTGAAACAAGTCCTGTTGTGTAAATCCCTCAGTACTAAATATTCCACAGTCAACAGTTGGTGGTAATGTAACAAAGTGGGAGGGGTTAGGTTTGATGACAACTAAGCCATTAAGTGACAGGTCACGTCAAAATCACAGAACAGGGTCAGAGGATGCTGAGGGGTATAGTGGGCAGAAGTCACCAACTTTCTACAGTGCCAATAACTCCTGACCTCCAAACTTAATGTGGCCTTCAGATTAGCTCAATAACAGTGTGCAAAGAGGTTCATGAAATGGGTTTCCATGACCAAGCAGCTACATCCAAGCCTTAGTTACCAAGCACAATGCAAAGCGATGGATGTAGTGGTGTAAAGCACGTCACCCCTGGACTCTAGAGCATTGGAGACATGTTCTCTGGAAGGATGAATCCCACTTCTGGCATTCTGGGTGTGGAAGAACTTGACTGGCCTGCACAGTGTCCTGACCTCAACCCGATAGTACAGCTTTGGGATGATTTAGAGCAGAGACTGTGATCAAGGCCTTCTCAGGAAATATCTGATCTGACAAATGTGCTTCTGGAAGGATGATCAAAAATTCCCATAAACATTCCTAAAACTTGTGGAAACCCTTTCCCAGAAGAGTTGAAGCCTCGAAAAGAGGCAGAAACCCCTCCAAAAAGAAACTGAAGAAGAGTTGAAGAACAAAGCTCAGTGCCAGCCGAACAGATATAAAGAAGTCCTGTACCTTCTACCTGTCCCCTTAAAGCCCCAGATTAATTTGGAAAATGAAGATAAAATTTAATTTGTAATTCCTTCTGTCTGAAATCAGCTACAGAATAAATTAAATCTCAGGCCATGCTAAATGAATTTAGGGTCATTCTGTGATGATACTGGATATGACTGGGACTTTTTTTTGTCATTCATAATCTTTATATATTCTTCAGTATACTGGCATCTTTAGTTCTTGTTGTAGTTAACTTAAGTGTTTAGTTAAGCTTTAGTTATGTTCTCACTTCCTGTTTCATAGTTTCGCCTCTAGTGTGCTTAGACGGCTGCCCTGCGACCCGGCCCCGAGTAAGTGGAAGAAAATGGATTGACGGACAACAACCTCCCGTAGACTCAAAAGGTGATTTTTATTACAGCAAATCCATTCGAATCTCAACATCTTTCAAAGAGCAGGTTAAACATACAAAAGCTCACTTAACATGTTTTTTTTTAAATTTTTTTATTAAATATGTAAAAAGCAGGTCAAGTTATTCACAAATAAAATGCAAACATGCAACACGATTTTTTGTCGGGGAATGCATAATGAGTGGGACATAAAAAAAAGAAAACAAAACATTTACCATTCATTAATTATTGACAGTACATGTTTACATTCTTTTTCATTTACACAATAATATATGACTAAAGCATCGTGGTGCACTGCCCAGTTCAATATTAGTAAATGCAATATTAAGAAAGGGTATACAATGTACTTACTGGAATATAGTGTAACAAATTGCTCAGTGAACTGACATCTCCCTAAGACCTGTGATTAAAAAAAATAATAATAAAAAATATCCCAACAGTTCCAGCGGACGTTTACAACTTAAAACTGCTGCTTCATCATAAGACTACTCCACAATGATGTTTCTTCCTTCCCTATGTTTACGGTTTAAATCTCTATCACTAAAGCCACCTTGTGTGGTGGGAACAAACGCTAAGCCGAGCACACTGATTATCTGAAATCTTGTAATTTGTAATGACAGCTGTGACACAGTCATACAGTTGGGATTTAACTACATTTTATTATCCTCCTTCACGAGGATGCAATTCAGATCCTTGCACTATTCCTAAGTCTTAATAACAACAACAATAATAAATACGGTGAGGGTCTATGGACAGATTGTCCAATACGAAGTCAAATGTCAGTGCAACATATGGAAGGAGGTTAAATAAGAGCTACTACGAGCCCTTCCAGGGCTTTGCTTATTGCATTCTTATGATTAATATTGTTGATATGAAAAAAATAAAAATAGCAGGGAGTCTAACACTTGCACTGACAGGTAGTGGTTACCTGTCTAAACTTCAGCATTTCATCACATCTACTGCAGGATTTGAATTGACTTTGCGCCCACACAGTCCTCTGATGGTCTGAGCTTGTCCGCTGGTGGAGGTCATTGCCACAAACCCGCCACAGCAGTTCACCAAAAGTCACAAGAAACATTGAACAGTGAGCAGAGGGGTACAAAAAAAACCCAAACAAAAACCTGTGATGGTGCTTCTTTCAGGAGGCTTCTTCATGTGCTCAGTTTCGGAGAGGATGAAAAATAAAAATGAGGACAAATGAAAATCCTGTAACAGTTCTCACACAGTCAAAAAAATTAAATTAAAAAAAATAAAATAAAGAGAGAGTGGGGTGTAACTGCGGTGAAGGATGATGGCAGTCAGTATTCATCCTGCTCCTCCTGCTGATCGTCTGGCACCTCTTCGTGGGCTTGCTGGTCCACTTCCTGTCCGTCGCCCTCAGCTAGCTCCCCTCGTTCCTAAAAAAGAAAGCGAGAGTTGAGGCAAGCGCATGTGACTGCACACAAACACTGAATTAAATCCACATGATTTCCTCAACAAAGAATGAGCACGTGGAGCCCCGAATCCTGCTCGGATCAATCTAAAGGCCCAGACTGACCTGCTCATCGGAGGCGTACAGGATCTCCATTAGCCGATCGACAAACGGGGCGTTTTCCTCCCCCTGTTCCTGACAGAGCAGCTCCACCTCTCGCAGCTTGCTGAAGTAGTAGTCTCGCTCCTTCTCCACTCCTTCCAGTGCCAACTTTAGTGTGTTCACCTGCAAAAATAAATGTTCAAGCATTTCAAAACACACAAACTCTGAACAGACTCCCAACATTAAAAGATAAGCAGAGGAGAAAGACAAAGCTGATTAAAACTGATCCGGATGATTCTTTCTAAGAAAACGACTCAAGATAAACTGTTTAATTGATACAAGTTGTCTTCAGTTACATGTGATTTGAGCACTAGAGCAGCTCTGAATGATTGAATGCAATCATTATATCAGTAAAGGATCTACCGATCAGTTAAGTCT